AATCCGATTAATCAATCGTGAGGGGGCGAACTGCACCCCCTCAGAGTAGTAGAACCGTCTGTAGCGGTGGGTGTTTGATTAGACTAGATTTAGAAGACGATTACAAGGCCTGCTAATATGTTATTCTAACTCCAGAAGTGGAAAAGAAGGGATTAGGGGCCCACATAGATTTGGTCTAGGTTAGGGTAGTTTGAAGTCCATCCAGTGCCTTAAGAATTGTACAGCCTAACACTATCCCTAAACTCCTGGTCTATCAAGCCTTCTCTTTTTTCCTAAAGCCACAGAGGTATCTGTAGCATACGAGAGTGGACAGTCCTCACACGGGTGATGTAAACTAGTATTAACATTAACACTGTTGGTTGAACACATGACATTAAATGAATTTACAGTCTTTCCGTGCGACCTTGAATACTAGTCATGGTCATTTCTATATGCATTTTCCCCCCGTTTTTTTTTTATCCTTGGTACATGTACATGCGAGTTAAAATGGTTGACGCCGCGCTAAGGCATATATTTATAAAGGACCCTCGGGCGAGAAAAGCCTGAAAAACGTATTGTATTAGCCATTCAAATGTACACAGCATTAAAATAGAACCAAACGTATTTCATGACTTGTCACAGAATATTAATGGATTCCCTTGAATACTATACAATGGTACTAGTGTTGGTGCTTTTTCTCCCGTGTGTATCACCAGGCCACATGTAATTACCGTGACATTTGGTCATTCCATCAAATGTCACGAGTTAATTGTCATGTTGTGATGATAGTCTCTCATATTCTTCTGGGACAAAATCATCCTAATCATTATATCAATTTTGAGGAAAATGCTGGTTTATAACTGAAATCGGGGAAGATCGAGCGTTCTGTAGACGATGCGATTGCGTGTGATATAGACTTATAATGGTGAGGGAATTTCAATCGTCAAGATGATTCTATTACAAACAGATGAACGTCTGTTCTAGCTAAAACATGTAATCACGAAAACCTATATATATATATCCTGTGGAATATGGAAACATCACGAACGAAACGGGTATTTACTGGGTATTGTAAACCAGTTTGTGTGATCGAAATTACAACAGTGTTACAGAAATCCGATTAGGCGAGTCTATACAACCCTTCACAAAGTCAGCCAGGCTAATACTTCAATACGACAAGGGAAAAATGACTGAATACAATAGTAAGTAATACTAAGTACAAAGAGATTATTGTCACGTACCGTATTACATGTTGTATATAATGAGAATGATCTCTCAATATGTTTCTTACTTTAATTTTCCAAACAATCTTTTGTTTGCTGCCTTCTGATTAAGACACAATTAAGGATTTGTCTGTTTGTTCCGTTGCTGTGTACCTTGTTCTCATTCAGGAACATGGTATTACTTACTAGGATTGACCAATATTTACATGGCGGATGTCGTCGATGAAGTAGGAGTTTCCGTCTTTGTTTTGATCACATTTTGCCCTAGTTTTATCAAATCTGAGTTTTGAGTTATGATTCTGTCATCACGTTGGGATTTTCCTTTTGTTTTTTCCCCACAATACTCTTCAGCTCTCTGCTATTCTCGATGTGCTTATCTATAAGCTGCTACCACCTTGCACGAAAAAGCGAATAAAATCTTGAATACCGAATCAAATACGCCGACACAAGCATTGGACGAGTAAACAAGTATGTAAGTATCTAGGATTAGAACATTCCAGACAGGGAAACCATCACGGTTATCACACCAGACACTAGATATTAGTGTCTAGACAGGGAAACCATCACGGTTATCACACGAGACATCAGATATTAGTGTCCAGACAGGGAAACCGTCACGGGTATCACACCAGACACTAGATATTAGTGTCCAGACAGGGAAACCATCACGGTTATCACACGAGACATCAGATATCAGTGTCTAGACAGGGAAGCCATCACGGGTATCACACGCGACATCAGATATTAGTGTCCAGACAGGGAAACCATCACGGTTATCACACGAGACATCAGATATCAGTGTCTAGACAGGGAAGCCATCACGGGTATCACACGCGACATCAGATATTAGTGTCCAGACAGGGAAACCATCACGGTTATCACACCAGACACTAGATATTAGTGTCTAGACAGGGAAACCATCACGGTTATCACACGAGACATCAGATATCAGTGTCTAGACAGGGAAACCGTCACGGGTATCACACAAGACATTAGATATTAGTGTCTAGACAGGGAAACCATCACGGTTATCACACCTGACATCATATATTAGTGTCTAGACAGGGAAACCATCACGGTTATCACACGAGACACTAGATATTAGTGTCTAGACAGGGAAACCATCACGGTTATCACACCAGACATCAGATATTAGTGTCCAGACAGGGAAACCATTACGGTTATCACACGCGACATCAGATATTAGTGTCTAGACAGGGAAGCCATCACGGTTATCACACGAGACATCAGATATGTGTTTCTAGACAGGGAAACCATCACGGTTATCACACGAGACAGTAGATATTTGTTTCTGTTGTTTATCAGTAAAATCAAAGAAAGTGACTTATGTAGAAAAGTCTCGTTGATAAATTTGGTTTATAAGGCGGAAGTGATCAACACATTCTTGCTTTCATCAATTTATATTTAAAACTAAATGAAGGTCGTTTTGGCTTTTATAGTTGAGTACAGCCGTGTATGAAAACAATCAAGTCTGCCAAGTGAAGAGAACATCTGTTCCCATGGATACGACAACGTGACCTATACGCCATTCATTCCGATATAAGACCTAAATCTGCCTATCCATGGATATATCTTCATTTCTTAAATTGGGTATCAGTTTTTCTTAATGTTCAATATATACACTAGACAATTTATTAAGACGGGAGGATGGAGTGAAAAAAAAAAGTTTTCCTTGAGATTTAAAACGTGCTTCGTTTGAGAGACCGCAAAGACATTGAATAACCAATAAAAAACACCAACAGTAAAACATAATATTACGTCATCAATGTGTCCTTTATCTTGGTAATACTATCATTTAAACAGTGAATTCATTGGCTATATTACTGTACATATCCTTGTACAACCTAGTACTGCCAGTACTACCAGAAACAGCCCGGTACTGTCTAGTACTACCAGACCAGTACTACCAGAAACAGCACGGTACTTTCCAGTACTACCAGAAACAGCCCGGTACTATCCAGTACTACCAGAAACAGCCCGGTACTTTCCACTACTACCAGAAACAGCCCGGTACTGTTCAGTACTACCAGAAACAGCCCAGTACTGTCCAGTACTACCATAAACAACCCAGTACTGTCCAGTACTACCAGAAACAGCCCGGTACTGTCAAGTACTACCAGAAACAGCCCGGTACTATCCAGTACTACCAGAAACAGCTCGGTACTGTCAAGTACTACCAGAAACAGCCCGATACTGGTCAGAACCCACGATTTCTAGATACGTTGCGCGGAATAATTGTTGAATTCACCGCCTCCGTGGTGGATGCGTTTCTACCACTTTTACGAACTCGTCATTTCTGCCTCGAAAATGAGCATAGTCAATGACAAGAGGGCCACGGCCATGAATGGTCATCTAACAATCGACGAACGGATGGACCAAAAAAATCGTTGATGGTGGTCTGACAAATATGATGAATTCAAATTTTGAACATTCCTGGAAAGTATTGGAAACTCATAAAATAAGAAAAAATCAAATTCGACATATTTTTCTCATTGGTGTGATTGAAACATGAGAAGACATTCAAACCATTTTTCTACCCATAGCCAAGGTTTCACATTTTCTTTTTGAAAGCTATCCTAAGGATCTAACAGCCTACCATACTTCTGCGCCATTTGGCTAGTCTATCAATGTTACACAAGCCTCGTGGCTATTCCTGATCCGCGTTTTAAGTCGCTTTCCTTCACACCTGCAGCATATTTACACGTATTTTGTTGATTGTGTGGATCTTAAACAGCTGTAGATAATGGTATATCTCCTTCACGATATAACAAGTTTTTATATACTGACACGTGTGTTTACACATATTTTCTCGGGAGAAAGTATTGTTCTTCATTAATCTTGTCCTCATACATTAGACTGAACTGTATTCTTGTGCCAATAGGAGAAGTAACATCACATTTGTTGTTTACATATTGATAATGCAGATAAATGGGTCAGGTTCAGGCTATACTAGATTGGTATTAGCTTACAGAGCAAGGGTTAATCTATTTTTGGCTCGGACCGGAAGCAGGAAGATACAAACTGTCTAAACACCATCTTCGCCAATAGCCCACCATCATGGTATTTCCAGACCCTCGCAAAATCATCTTTGTTGTCCGATACTATGATGAACAATTTATTTAATATCTAACGAATCATATTTTTAAAATATATAGACAGACAAATCTGAGAAAAAGATACAAGAACACTCCAACAAGATACGAGAAACACCATTAAGAACCGAGAAGCACCATTAAGAACCGAGAATCACCATTAAAAACCGAGAAAACACCATAAGAACCGAGAAACACCATTAAGAACCGAGAATCACCATTAAAAACCGAGAAACGCCATTAAGAACCGAGAATCACCATTAAAAACCGAGAAACACCATTAAGAACCGAGAAAACACCATTAAGACCCGAGAACCGAGAAACACCATTAAGAACCGAGAAACACCATTAAGAACCGAGAAACACCATTAAGAACCGAGAAAACACCATTAAGACCCGAGAACCGAGAAACACCATTAGGAACCGAGAAACACCACTGAGAACCGACAAACACCATTGAGAACCGAGAATCACCATTAAGAACCGAGAAACACCGAGAAATCAAGGAACACCATTAAGAACCGAGAATTACCATTAAGAACCGAGAAACACCGAGAAATCGAGGAACACCATTAAGAACCGAGAATCACCATTAAGAACCGAGAAACACCGAGAAATCGAGGAACACCATTAAGAACCGAGAATTATCATTGAGAACCGAGAATCACCAACAAGTTACCAGAAAATGTCAACAAGAACCAAGAAACTAACAACGTGGATCCAATATATACCAACAAGTACAGAGGAACAACAACATAGAGCGACAATCACCAACAAGTACAGAGGAATAACAACAAAGAGCGACAATCACCAACAAGTACAGAAGAACAACAACAAAGAGCGACAATCACCAACAAGTACAGAGGAACAACAACAAAGAGCGAAAATCACAAAAAAAGTACAGAGGAATAACAACAAAGAGCGACAATCACAAACAAGTACAGAGGAACAACATCAAAGAGCGAAAATCACAAAAAAAGTACAGAGGAATAACAACAAAGAGCGAAAATCACAAACAAGTACAGAGGAACAACAACATAGAGCGACAATCACCAACAAGTACAGAGGAACAACAACAAAGAGCAAAAATCACCAACAAGTACAGAGGAACAACAACAAAGAGCGAAAATCACCAACAAGTACAGAGGAACAACAACAAAGGGCGAAAATCACCAACAAGTACAGAGGAACAACAACAAAGGGCGAAAATCACCAACAAGTACAGAGGAATAACAACATAGAGCGACAATCACCAACAAGTACAGAGGAACAACAACAAAGGGCGAAAATCACCAACAAGTACAGAGGAACAACAACAAAGGGCGACAATCACCAACAAGTACAGTGGAACAACAACAAAGAGCGACAATCACAAACAAGTACAGAGGAACAACAACAAAGAGCAAAAATCACCATCAAGCACAGAGGAACAACAACAAAGGGCGAAAATCACCAACAAGTACAGAGGAACAACAACAAAGAGCAAAAATCACCAACAAGTACAGAGCAACAACAACAAAGGGCGACAATCACCAACAAGTACAGAGGAATAACAACATAGAGCGACAATCACCAACAAGTACAGAGGAACAACAACAAAGAGCGAAAATCACCAACAAGTACAGAGCAACAACAACAAAGAGCGACAATCACCAACAAGTACAGAGGAACTACAACAAAGAACAGAGGAACAACAACAAAGAGCGAAAATCACCAACAAGAACCCCAAATCATCTGTAGAGTTACATTCTAAACAACAGTACCTATCTATTTCGCCACGTCCTAAATATCTTTACAGATCTGTTTAGTTACACTGTGTTGTAACACCACAATTAGAGCAGGTCGTTACCATTAAGCAAACACAATTCTAACAAGGCTAAGATTACTTCCTTATGCAATCCTGGCTCTAGCAAACAACTATAAATGAAGGGCTGTAGGGCTTACCAAACTTCGGACCACGCTGATCACCCAGCTGAGTGCAGTATTGTGTAGAAGGATCAAAATTCAAAACAAGAAGAATTTTCACCTGGATTTGATAAATAATCTCTTCACCTGTTGAAATTGGACATTTGCCAGCGATAGTAGTAAATGACTGACGATATCAAACAGCCAGTCAACTGTGTGACTTTAAATACAGGTCACTGGCCTCTTTCACTCTCCGTCAAAATGTCGTTCGTTCGAAACACACAATAAATTGAGGACAAAATTTAGCTAACTTTACCAAAATCTGCGATTATGCCATGATGAGATGAGAGGAGCTTAACCACATTTCTTCGAAAGCATCATTGGGTGAGCGGAAGTCAATATTATATACGCTTTCGTAAATACCCGAGTGTCTGATCTTTTTGGTGTAGAACACGTGATGGCTTACATACATATATATTGGGAAAGGGAGACGGAGCCCTCTAGGATAAACAGAGGACCAAGAGACATTGACTTCATTACTATGTGATTGGTCCTTATTTTCTGTGATGAGAAAGAGCGCCACTTTGTTTAAATCACATTAAAAAACTACTAACTTTCATATTATTGTGTCTATATTTTCGTTTTATCGGCTACAGGTACTACATGGTAAATATTACGGTCTTATCGGTTACAGGTATAGAACCGGGTGTAATTGATATATATTACCTTAGGAATTATATTGTATTAATACGGAAACGTATTCCGGCCACGTTGTGTTTTATTCTATCTCGAAACTCGAAATTTCGAGTTAGCAATCCGAAATTTTGAGATATTAGCCCGAAATTTTGAGATAGCAACGCGAAATTTTGAGATAACAACTCGAAATTTCGTCCTACTGAAATTTCGACTTACTAACTCAAAATTTCGGATTACTCACTCAAAATTTCGGATTACTTACTCGAAATTTTGAGTTAAAATAAAACACAACGTAGCCGGAATGCTCTTCTACACAACTCGAAATTTCGAGATAGCAACGCGAAATTTTGAGATAAAAACTTTGAGTTAGTCAAAATTTGTTGTTATCTTGAAATTTCGGGTTCGACTCACTAACTCAAAATTTCGGATTACTAACTCGAAATTTCGAGTTGCTATCTCGAAATTTCGGGTTAATGCCTCAAAATTTCGGATTACTCACTCGAAATTTCGAGTTAGAATAAAACACAACGTGGCCGGAATATGCTTCCGTTTATTAACCATGCATGTTTAGAATAAAATCGATGAGTCATTTCACCTAGTACATAATCACATTTCTCGCGACATCTGCTGAGGTTAGGACACTCTCAGATCGGTCCATCTACATCTGTCGTGGTTAGGACTAAATCTGACCTTTACTATGACCTATTAATACGAATTCCGAAGTCTAGGTATAAGCCAATCAGATGTCATTACTCTTTACTTTTACACTTCACATAGTTCAGCGTGTGAATTTTAAAACGCCCACGCCAACACGGCTGAGATAACATGTATCTTGGTGTTTGTCTTTCATGATAATATTGACTTAAGTCTTATATTTCGTATGACTAGAAACATACAGAAATGTTGAGAGTTTAGACGCTCTACTTGTCACCAGACAAACACGATTATCTTGTTCATATCTGTTCACATTACACGACATATAGCGATACAAATTTAAGTCAGACATTGGTATGTGTTAGCCTTAATGACAAAGGTGACATTGGGATATTACCTTGGGATAATTGTCACGTGATTGTTTGATTTTACACACTGTAATCGATTGCAGAAACGGCACGCAGCATAAATCATACGGGCATTATGCTTAAGCAGAATTAAAAAATTAAAACAAAATAGAAAAATAGGAGGTGAAACTTACTTTAGAAATATTTTAATTACAGATAGTTGGTTTACAGTTTGAACTGTTTATAGATCGGATTAGTTATAGGTATAAGACATATGTAGACACCATGTACCATTCATATTCACACACAAGGAGAGAGAGGAAATGTGGAATCGGGTTTTAAACCTGTAAACCCCATGGTATTCATCTCCTTAATCAGCCTTTGGTAAAAATCAACGAATACGTTTAACTTACCCGATCTCTAACAGTGAACATCCTGGGATCTAATGGGTATCTGAACGGTAGGGTTCTGAAGAAAACCAGTAACGTCTTCATCATGAGAGGTAGACATAAAAACCTAGAAACACAGTATCGAGCCCACTGGTGGAAATGATAAAACCACCAAAAAATAACGAAAACATTCTACAAAATACGAAAACTGTCGCTGTAAGTACGTTCCTGTTTCCAGATTTCCCATCGGACACCAGCTTTTTCGGACATTTAATCAATAATTTTATTCCTTCTGTTTTTTGTGGCATAAAGCACCAAAGTCACACAGAATTTAATTATTCCCAATCTGTTTTCAAACTAATTTTCAATATCAGGCGTCGAAGTAAGTAATCATTCCCCATATCATCATACACGCGAGACGATACCGTTGTTATACGTTATCATTGAGACTTTTCAGTTAACATTCCCGATATCACCATAAACGCGAGACGATACCGTTGTTATACGTTATCATTGAGACTTTTCAGTTAACATTCCCGATATCACCATACACGCGAGACGAACTGAAAACGTTTATGAAATGAATCCTAAGGTTTATAAACGACTTTGTTAATTCTCATACAAACAAGCAGATACATGTAAAACGCTGACTAATAAACAATCCGTTATAATAATAATAATAATATCGTGTTTTGAACACACAAATAGAGAAAAGTCACCATTTATTATTGTATGTTGGCCCTAATGACCTTTTATGTGTTGACGGGCCGTTAAAAATGTAATAATAATGATTACGGGTTATTACATTGTAAAAAAGTTGATTACGGGTTATTACATTGTAATACATTGATTACAGGTTATTACATTGTAATACATTGATTACAGGTTATTACATTGTAATACTGTTGATTACGGGTTATTACATTGTAATACTGTTGATAACTGGTTATCACATTGTAATACTGTTGATTACTGGTTATTACATTGTAATACATTGATTACAGGTTATTACATTGTAATACTGTTTATTACTGGTTATTACATTGTAAAATAGTTGATTACGGGTTATTACATTGTAAAATAGTTGATAACTGGTTATCACATTGTAATACTGTTGATTACTGGTTATTACATTGTAATACTGTTGATTACAGGTAATTACATTGTAATACATTGATTACAGGTTATTACATTGTAATACTGTTGATTACAGGTTATTACATTGCAATACTGTTGATTATGGGCTACTGCATTGTAATACTGTTGATTACGGGTTATTACATTGTAATACTGTTGATTACAGGTTATTACATTGTAATACTGTTGATTACAGGTTATTACATTGTAATACATTGAGTACAGGTTATTACATTGTAATACAATGATGACAGGTAATTACATTGCAATACTGTTGATTATGGGCTACTGCATTGTAATACTGTTGATTACGGGTTATTACATTGTAATACTGTTGATTACAGGTTATTACATTGTAATACATTGAGTACAGGTTATTACATTGTAATACTGTTGATTACAGGTTATTACATTGTAATGTACATGTCGTTTACAATGTTATTACGTAGGCTTGGTTTAGGTTACGTCCCGGTTTACGCAGGCTTGATGATTTATGCATAACATGATAAAACATCTAAATATTTAAGCGATTACAAGAATAACACGTAATTATATGTCTAGTATCATCCACTTTCTCACACAATCATGATTGGATAGGAAGAAACCAGGTTAAATCTTGAGTTACCCTCTTTGTATTATCAGGTTAAATCTTGAGTTACCCTCTTTGTATTATCAGGTTAAATCTTGAGTTACCCTCTTTACATAACCAGGTTAAATCTTGAGTTACCCTCTTTGTATTATCAGGTTAAATCTTGAGTTACCCTCTTTGTATAACCAGGTTAAATCTTGAGTTACCCTCTTTGTATAACCAGGTTAAATCTTGAGTTACCCTCTTTGTATAACCAGGTTAAATCTTGAGTTACCCTCTTTGTATAACCAGGTTAAATCTTGAGTTACCCTCTTTGTATTATCAGGTTAAATCTTGAGTTACCCTCTTTGTATTATCAGGTTAAATCTTGAGTTACCCTCTTTGTATAACCAGGTTAAATCTTTGTTTACCACCCGTTCACAAAAAGAATACTTCCTCAGATTTTGTCTGCTCCTTCTTTTTAATAGTGGAAAACTGTGCCCTCTTGTTATCTTGTTATTGTTTTGTGTCAGGAAATCCTCCGCGACAGCCCTATCATATCCTCCATGTGTTAGTTTGTATACTTGAATCATATCTCCTCTCAATCTTCTGTGCCTCGGTGTCGGTGATTTAAGAATCCTTAGCCTGCTTTCATAGCTTAGGCTTTCATTCTCGGTATTTGTTTCCTATTTTTTAATGGAAATGGATTTCAGTTTACCTTAGTATGTCCATCTTAGGAAGGTGTCAGAGTGAGACTATCATTCGGAATATATCAAATGTAACTCATCTGACAACGTTACGTACGTAGTTTGCTGTCTTTTTTCATGTCTTTAGTACAATTGATGAAGCAGGAAAACAGTATTAA